TCCGGACGGTTGATTAGGTAACATGTTCCTCTGAATTGAGCGCCATCAAAGGGAACGTCACATTCGAGCTCATCCGTGAGCTGGAGGAATCGGCCAGAAACGTCCATAGCCTTTCTGTCCGATGTGATCATCGGAGACCATCCAATCATCTGCATACACATGGTTTTGCTGCATGTTAGACATCGAGTGTTCCACGGGGCTACACATGGGCTTGTTGCATGATAGTCAGCGGTTGTTCGACGGCAATACACAGGGTAGGGCTGCATGATAGACAGCGATTGATCCACGGTGCTACACATGGAATTGCTTCATGATAATAAGCAATGGTGTTGTGCAGATGGCCACAATGAGTTCGAATACTGCGTCGCTAGTGTACGTTCGCCCGTGTAGGCCGATCGATAACCTGCTTGGAGTGCGGCAATGGCTTGCAAGCTACCGCTTGCTAAGGCTGTTCGTTAGGCCGTCCTAATACGGTGATCCGTTTCGATTAAGTCACCACAGGCTAGCATTTTGTTTGGGAAGCTCTTTCTTCTTCATTTCCAGCGGTCAGTTTGATCATATTTTTCTTTTCTCGCTCAGCCCATCAGTAATAAGATTTCCCAGCCCTTGCTGGTCTTCATCCAAGGTTATCATGTTTTCTGCTGGTTTTAGGTTTCGCGTTGATGGTTGCCTGCCACTATTGGCTGTAGATTTGACGGACACCGTTCTGGAGTCTCTTTTGGATATCATCATCCACATCCCCCTGCCTGAGGCTGATCCCTCTCTGAAGGTGCCTACCGATCCTGATGCACTCCTGAAGGTGAGTCAGACAGTGCCACCCCAGTTGCTAAACTTTGAAACGAAAAAGACATTCTTGGTATAGTCCCCTCTCGTGGCAATGTTTAGGACTTAATCGACTGTGATTCCACATTCAGTGGGTCCCTATAACTAGTAGAACAGTGTTGGTCGCGTAGTCAGCCAGTGTCCTTGCACGAATTCGCCACCGTTAAGACGGCGTAAATCCCTTCCGAGACCTCAGTCAGTGCCCTAGTTAAACAGTGCGAGCAGTAGTATACAAGCTTGCTGGACTCCAGGCCGAACATCAAATGGCGGGAATGTATTTTTTGTGGATCAGGACTCGAGCAGTGTTGTGTGGCATGCCCTCCAGCTCCATTGTTCACTACAGGAACTTGTAATAAATGAAATCGAACGCTTTTAGCGAAGCCAATCACTTTGACTGAAATACTTCATGCCTTCGAACGCCACTCTTCTGGGGACAAAATGTTCTACAACGGCTTTATAACGACTAAACCGTCTTTGCACTTTACAAAGGCAAATTGAAAGAGCAAATTGTACAAGGGTTCCTGTGAATACTACTACTACTACTACTCCTACTACTACTACTACTACTACTACTACTACT